ATTTGGGGCTTCAAGCAGAGGCAGGCTGAGCACAGCCCAAGCTTGCTCCCACGTTGGCTGTTCTCACGTGCTGGGGGGCAACAAGCTCGTCGCGTTCTGCTGGCATCCAGCATCCCTGGGTCTGCTCTGCCTTCTGGTGCGGGGGAACGCCGGGGAGCAGATGGCTGCAGGGCCCTGCTGACTGCCGCGGCGTGTGTGCTGGGAGCTGCCTCTCCCTCGCCAGGCTGTGCTGACAGGCCTTTCCCTGCGCTCGCTTTTCAGATTCGCACCAAGTGGATCCCCATGGTGAACGGGGGAGTCGAAAAGGGCTCCAGGTACCGTCTGCGGGTGCACAATTGGGGGATTCTGGAGGCTGCGGGGTCCCCATCACTTTTGCGTTGGGTGGAGGTCGCTCAGATCAAACCAAATTTGTGGCTTGAGGCCAGACCACTTGTAGCAGAAGGACACGGGGGCTTTTCTCCCTTGCGGATCTGGCAGAGGGCCATGGGAGAGGGTTCCTTCCCCCCTTGATCCCTTCTCAGCCAGGGAGGGGGGGGAGGCTGCCAAGGCAGGATGGGAGCACAGAAGCCGCAATCTGTGCGTGGATTGCTTAGACAGAAGGCCGCTGTGCTGGATTAAAGACTCCTGAACATCTTGTTGCTGGGCGAAAGCGTAAGTGGGATCAGGCAGTCTGTTTCTCCAGATGGATGCTCCCAGCCGTGGGAGGCGGGAAAGCTGCTGTGGACCTTGTGGAGGAGGGTGGGGAGGCTCCCCAGCCTGCTGCCTGGGAGCACACGTGGCCGGGGCAGCGCTGAGACCAAGAGAGGGGTGACCTCGCTGGTGCTCTCTGACACTTTGTCTTCCTTTTCCAGGATCCCCATTATTTTAGTGGGAAACAAGTCTGACCTGCAGGTGGGGAGCTCCATGGATGTCATCCTGCCCATCATGAACCAGTTCTCGGAGATTGAGACCTGCGTGGAGGTGAGGGAGCTGGAGGCTTTCTGCAGAGCCTTCCCAAGGGGGGTAGGAGCACTTGGCCAGCGTGAGTCAGGGAGCCTCCGTGCTTGCGGAGCTCTGCCCTGCTGACGTTGCCCTGACCCCTGCCTGGTCTTGAGGGCCTTCTGTCCTTTGCCTTCCTCACGGGGAGTGGGGTTCAGCCCGCTCTGGCTCACTAGCTGTAACTGGTGGTGGAGCTACATGCTGGCTGTGGAACGGGTGCGGCAAAGCCAGAGCATGAGCAGGAGATTTCCCTTTTCTTTTTTCCTAACGGTGGGCAGACGTTGCTCTGTGCTTTGATGCACAACCTGTCTGGCTGGGGGAGCTCGTATCATCCATTTCGGTTGGATTTGATGATCTTAAAGGTCTTTTCCCACCTGAGTGATTCCATCCTCCCTTTGCTCCTTGTCACCAGCCCGTTGCCTGTCCCTGCTCACAGGGCTGTCTCTTCCTTTTAATCCCCAGTGCTCTGCCAAGAACCTCAAGAACATCTCTGAGCTCTTCTACTATGCCCAAAAAGCTGTGCTGCACCCCACCGCCCCCCTCTACGACCCAGAGGAGAAGCAGGTAGGAAGCACTGCTCGCAGCCCATGGAGGAGTCTCGTTCCCATTGCAGCGCTCTGATCCGGTGCTGTGCTTTTGCCCCTGGGTAAGAGGGTGGAAAGTTTGGGCCGAGGCATCCAGAACAAGGGGAAGGTGATGTCCCTGAGGGGAGCCGATGGGAGAAAACACTCATCTCTCGTGCTCAGTGCAGGCAGCTGAGTGTATTCAGACCAGAGAGATCTTCAAGGACCAGGGGCATGTCGGGGTCGAAGCCCTCGTGCTCCAGACAATGTTTTAGCCGTAGTGGGAAGGGTCTAGGAGAGACCTTCCCCATGGGCTGTCCTGCTTCTGACTCCCAGCTCCACAGTGGCTGAGGTACTGGCCTAGCCGAACCGTGCTCCCAGCCAGTGCAGGAAGGGAACCCTGCTGCACGTGGGATTTCAGGAGGCAGGAGGAAGGGCTGAGCTGAAGGTGGTGCCTTGTTTTTGTCACTCTGATTTGTCCCTTGCAGCTGAAACCTGCGTGTGCGCGAGCGCTGACCCGGATTTTCAACCTCTCCGACCAGGATAACAACCAGATCCTTAGTGACGATGAGCTCAACTACTTCCAGGTAAGGCTGGCTGCGGAGCTGAGATGTTTCCCAGTGCCTTGTGGAAAGCCCCTGGGGTCTCCTTTCCTTCCAACACCAGGCAGAAAGGCTGCCCCTCTCCTGACGCACGTTTGCATTCCGTACTTCTGCTGTTGCACAACTAAAGCCCCGCAGAACACATCTGCAAGCACATGGGGATCCACAGGTCTTCCATCTTTGCTAAGCTTGGTGTGGGAAGAGCAGGAGATTGCGGAGATGCTGAGAGTCATACTGGATTGGGATGCTGAGGAGCAGGGGTTTGGTCAGGGTCTGTGGAAGCAATCCCTGAGCTGGGTGGGTTTTCTCTCCTAGAAACACCATCTCCTTGCCAGGGGCGAGGGTTGCTGGTGAGACAGAGTTGTGCTGTCCGTGTCCTTTGCTGACGATGACCACCTTTCTCTTGGGAGGTAGAAATCCTGCTTTGGAAACCCGCTGGCTCCGCAGGCCCTGGAGGATGTGAAGATGGTTGTGTGGAAGAACACCACAGACGGGGTGCAGGACAACGGCCTGACGTTGAACGGTAACAGAACAAGGGCTCCGTGCCCCTTCCCAGCAAGGGATGGAGGGACCCGTCTCCTTCACCATATTGTGAGGGGCCCTGTTCTTGGGCTGAGCCTCCTGGCTCTCATTCCAAGCCGAATTAGTCCATCTTGTCAAAGCAAGCCTGAGCCTGCTGTGGCGCACTGTCCAGGCAGCCCGTGTTCCCAGTAAAAACGTGGTCCCGAGTGGATCCCTGAGGCTGAGTGCTCGATTGTCCCGGCTGTGCCTCAGCCACCTTGATCTCCTCCACAGGCTTCCTCTTCCTCAACACTCTCTTCATCCAGAGGGGCCGGCACGAGACCACCTGGACCATCCTTCGCCGCTTCGGGTACGACGATGAGCTGGAGCTGACGGACGACTATCTCTACCCACAGTGCGTATCCTGCCGTGGAGCGGGGCGGGCAGGGTGTGACATCCCCGTGGTGCCCAACTTGGGCTCCTCCTTTCTGCGCCCTGGGGTCTGCTGTGTTCCTCAGCTGAGGCTGAATCCACACCCTTAGTTCATGGTCAGGTTCACGCTCCTCACCTTTCCCTGTGGGCAGGAGCCGACGCACTGGGTTGGCAACAAATCCAGCAGGCCTTGGAGCTGCTGACTGTGCTGCCAGCTCTGACGTAGGCGGGCAAGGAGGTGGGGAATGAAGGTCTGTCCCTGTCTTCCCTTGACATCAGCAAGGGCCTTTTGAAGGCTGTGCTGTCTGTGCCTGAGCTGAGGCAGAACGGCTCTGTCGAGAGCAGCGAGCTGTCAGCACAGCCCTCCCGGCTGATTCTGCAGCTGCTGTCTCTTCTCTGCTCCCTGCCACCCCGGAGGTGGTGATCTGGCAGTAATGAAAGGCTTTGGCATGCGAGCTGCCTCATCCTCGCCCCAGACTGCTGGCTGCGTGGGGAGGCGACGGGGCCCGTGCTGGTGGAAAGCACCCCGGGGCTGGTGCTGTGCCCTGCTGAAGCCCTGGGCACAAGGCAGAGCCAGGGCTACGTCATCTTCCTGCCTGCTTGGGCAGCGCGGATGTGCCGAGGGGAGGCCCCTGTGCACCCTCGAGGGCTTCTTCCCAAAACAAGGGGGCTGTGTCAAGGAATAGCCAGGTCTGGAGACAGCTGCTGGCCTTGAGCAGGGAGGGAGTGGGGAACTGTGTCCTCTGGGTGAGATCTGGCTTGACCGAAGCCCGGCTCACACGCTGCCCGTTGTTCAGAGCTTGAGGAGGCTCACTTGGGTCTTTCCGACAGGTTCCGCCTTCCCCCCGGCTGCTCCACTGAGCTCAACCACTTGGGCTACCAGTTCCTGCAGCGGCTGTTCGAGAAGCACGACAAGGTGGGCAACGTGCAGTGGAGCTGCCTGGGGAGGGGGTGTTCCATGCTAGCCCTGCACACTTGGGTGTAGCTGCTCTCCTGTCCACCCCCTCTGTGCCAGGGAGCAGAGGTGGCACCAGTGAAGGGCTTTCTTTTGCCACAGCACTCCCTTTGTGGCTTCTTGCTGAGGCTTTGGGAGCAGGAGGTGGCCAGAGTGAGCTGTCAGCAGTCCGACGGCATGTCGAGGGCATGGGGTTGTGGTCACTACCCTCGAACAAAGGGCAGCTGGTGAAGTTTGGGCCTTCAGGGGATGGGTCTGAGTTAACATCACCCTGGTGTAGCCCCGCAGCACGTAGGGTGGCAGGGAAAGCGGGCACAGCTGCTGGCCTACCGCGTGGCTGCCAGCCCTGTGGAGGGAATGCCAGGCCGGAGACAGGGAGAGAAAGCGACTGATTTGTGCAATACTCTGGCTTTTTGGAGAGAGAGAAGGGGATGTGTTGGATCTGCATGCACCTGCTCGGACTGGTTGTTCCGATGTTGGCATGCACCTGGGGTACGGCAGCACTGTGGCCATGGGGAATTGCGGCACCGAGTCGATGCACGTCCCTGTGTGCCCAGATGCTGGCACATCCTTTGTGCCCTGTGGCACACCAGCTTGAAGCTACCACACGTTGGCGTGTGCTTAGCTGGTGGCCAGCGACCCAGTGGCCACACATGGACCTTGGGTTAGTTACCCTGCAGCATGCACCTGGGGTACGGCAGCACTGTGGCCATGGGGAATTGCGGCACCGAGTCGATGCACGTCCCTGTGTGCCCAGATGCTGGCACATCCTTTGTGCCCTGTGGCACACCAGCTTGAAGCTACCACACGTTGGCGTGTGCTTAGCTGGTGGCCAGCGACCCAGTGGCCACACATGGACCTTGGGTTAGTTACCCTGCAGCATGGCAGGCCAGACTGGAGCAATGCAGGCTGCTGCGGGGTGACTGACCCCAGGGAAGCTCAGGGCTGCGGGGTGAGCGTGGATGGGTCGTGCCCAGTAGCAGGGCTGGCACTGGTTCCAGCTGCAGTCGCAAAGCAGAATCAGCCTGTCTCTCGTGCAGTGACGGGAGTCCCTGGGGCACAGGCTCTCTGCACGCTCGCGCAGCAATGGCCTTGCTTGCAATTGATTTCTGCCATTGAAAGCATCCCCGTGTCGTTCTGCAGCAGCGGGCAGGGTGGCTTGTGTGCCAGGGCCCCTCGCTGGACCCCAGCAGCGCTTGGTGTGGCTGCAGAGCTGCCCATGCGTGCGTGGGCTGTGTCGCACCTCAGCTGCTGACTCCCCTTTGTTTCGGCAGGACCAGGACGGAGCCCTCTCCCCCACAGAGCTGCAGAACTTCTTCAGCGTCTTCCCCCGCGTGCCCTGGGGCCCCGAGCTCTACCACACGGTATGCACCACTGATAAAGGCCTGCTTTCCCTGCATGGATTCCTCTGCCAGTGGACGTAAGCTCAGTCCCTCTCCCCTGCCTGGAGTCGCATCGCTTAGCCCTTGCTGACCTTGTTGGCTTCCCGGTGCGCTCTGTCTTTCCAGGCTCGTGGCTTACCTGGATGTGCGGCACTGCCTGGAGTGCCTGGGCTACTTGGGCTACCCCATCCTCTCGGAGCAGGACTCCCAGACACAAGCCCTCACGGGTACGGCCATGCCCTCCCCTCCCGTCGCAGCTCGGGGCCCCCCCCCCGCCCACGCAGCCTCC